TGAAACACTAGGCAGCACTGAAAAACAAGGAACTTATAAAATATTATAGAAAATGGGTGACCCTGGAGGACATTATGCTGAATGAAATTATCTCAGTCACAAAAGAACAAATACTGAATAATGCCACTGTTATAACATAGGACTGACATTGTGGGTTGGGGAAAATCTAAGAAAAGAGGAGATAAATAATGAACACGGCATTGGAACAGATAAGGTAAAGAATTGTTTAAAAGGAATATTATTTGCATGACAACAGTTCAGAATAAGAGGTGCAAAGCAAAGTGGACTGGGGTGGGGGTGGGGAGGGAGAAAACTTCAACAATGAATGAATTTTTTAAAGTGAAAAGTGAACTGGAGGAGTAGGGAGAAAAATGTGCAACAATGAATGAATGGAAATCCAAGTTTTCTGTAAACTTCCATTAAAATCACAATAAAAAATTATTTTTTTAAAAAAAGTGAACTGGGGGAAAGGGAATGAAGGGACATGAAGGAAAACATGTGTTGCTTTGATGCTGGAAACAATGTCTCTGGTATTTCGAATACCATCAGGGTCACCCATGGTGGATAGGTTGCAACAGAGCTTCCAGACCAAACAGTAGGAAGAAGAACCTGGAAATCTGCCGATGAAAACTCTACAGACCTAACCACACACCCTGAAGGTATTGCTGGCTGGGTTTGGAGGGTTAAGGCCTAGGAAGACTGGGTGAACCTGCATGATACATTTGATGTTCTACATTTCAGTTTTGTGAGTAGCATCTGAGGTTTTAAAGTATGTGAGTCGCCATCTACGATGAACTATTGGTCTCTCCCCATCCAGAGCAAAGAGGAAGAAGGAAGGAAAACTCAGAGAAGAAACAAGTCTACAAGACTAGTTAAGCTGTTAAGGTCTCAAGAATCATAGCCTCACCTATCCTAAGATCAGAGGAACTAGATGATGCCAGCTATCCCTACCAGCCATTCTCAAGGACACAATAGATGGACTCTGACAGCAGGGAAATAGAGAACAAAGGTCAAGTTCTTAAGAAGTCCAGATTTAACAAACTGGGTTAAGACTAGAGGAACCTCCCAAATTATTGCCTTATGAAATCCTTCAATCTTAACTGCAACTACTCCCAGAGTCTTCCAGCTAAATAATGGAAAGTAAAAAAAAAAAAAAAAAGACTGGCTCATGAAATAAGCAAGTTATCACCCACGAGCACTGCTTTCCTTTGAAAAGTTCATGTGAAAAAAGATCAAACAGTAAATACTCACCCTAAGGCAAAGATGAGAAGATAAGGGGGGTTAGAGAAGCTAGCTGAATGGAAATAATGGAATGCTGACACAGTGCGAAAATGTAACCAGTGACACTGAACAATTTAAACACTGTTGTTATTGTTGTTAGGTGCCATTGAGCTGACTATGGTTCATAGTGACCCTGTAACAACAGATAGAAACCTTGCTCTATCCTATGTCATTTGTAAATGGGAACCTAACGTACTATGTGAACTTTCACTAAAAAACAATAAAACATTATAAAAAAAATGACAAAAAAGAACAACAAAAATGTAAATGTTATGTTAAAACACGAAAATAAATGCTATGGATCACAATCCAGTATTATCTTACACCGAGCTCGAAGATGAGTCCCAGGGTTGGAAGGCAACTTAAACACATAGTGACTGCAAGAACGGGTCAAGCACATTGAGGGTGAGGAAGAACAAGCGGGACTGGGACACGTCTCCTCCTGGTGCTTATGGGGTTGCCATACATTACAGCCTACTCCACAGCAGCTACCTACGACTGTGCCCACGGAAGACTGCCATGCTGGAGGAAGGTCGGGGTACTAATTGTTCCTGAAAGACTCTCAGTGCTGACTGGAGCTCCCCTGGTAGAAATTCTTGTTAACTGAACAGAAACGAAACTGAAGCCTAGAGACATGAGGTACCTTAGTCAATGAAGGACTAAACCTAATTATCTGGTGACAGGAGATCTGGCTTTGGTCTCCACGCTACTTCCAGCTGATTCATCCCCCACGGGCCTGTCTGCGATGAGAGGTAAGCCAGGGTGCATCAATCTTGGCCTCTGGGTACCAGCCTCTTAAACAGTTTTTCACTGCTTCAACAGTCCTGCTCAGAACACCCCCATGACTCTTTTTTAGGTTCCTATTCCACTTGGCCAACTGA